AAACAAATAAATGAGAGCAAGGTGATTGTTCCTGTTATGAATATAACCTGCCAGTCTATAAACTCAGAGCAGTCCTGTTTTAGTTTGGTTTGGGGGATTAGGGTTTGTTTTGTTTTCCGAGACACAGTCTCATATAGCCAAGGTGGCCTCAAATTATCTGTGTTTCCAAGGTTGACAACTCCTGACTGCTGGGATTACAGGGCTGTGCCGCCATGCTTGGCATAAGCTCAGTCGCAGCAGCATCTTTAGAAGCTGGTGTGCGCACTGGCTCCCTTTTCTCACAGAAGAGGGTTGTCTGAGTCTGAAGCAGTCAGAACACTTTTCTCATTCCCTTAGCATCCCACAGAAAACCATTCTTCTCCAGAAGGTCCACTGCATCAGAGGTCACAGCACTGCCCAGCAGAATACTGTACCAAGAACATGCGTGCATCCAAACTAGCTTCAACACACTTAACCAGAGTCTTTCCAGTCTTTTAAACATGTACAGTATGAGAAAAAAAAATCCATGAAAAAAATCAGCCTGGACCAAAAGTGGTATTTCCGCAAGCCAGTAAACTGCCCTTCCTCCTGTGAACTCTATAACCAAGGCTTCAGGGCCTCTAAGCAAGTGCCTTTACCTTCCGAGTCATCCCACTTCCCCTTAATGTTGACCTCAAATGAATATCCTTTCCTGTTGAATGGGAAGATGGCCTTTCCTTTCTCTGCTTCATTGCTCTACCTGTGTGTATACTCAGCCCTCCCTTATCTCTGACATTTAGCTTTAAACCTATTTATTGTACATGGTCAGCTTGACACAGGAAAAGTTTAAATGTAGGACTCTTTACAGTATACCAAGATAACTATAAGGAATCTAAAAGAAATCTGATGTCAATATTAGTCTGTCAGTTGGGTGAGAAGACGATCTTCCTCAGTCTAGTTCTTGTCTGCTCCTACCCAGGATTCTGTTTGCTGTGAGTCAGGGAGAACAGTATTTCCCTTCTCTTTGCCATGCATTTCAGTTGTGCCCGTAAAACACTACTAATCAGTATGTTCTGTAAATGGCTACGTGAGGTGGCCACTGCAGAATCTCAGCACTCACAAGCTAAAGCAGAAAAATAGTGAGTCCAAGCCTGTCCTGGGCTGTACATTGAGATCTTGTCTCTAAACACGCACGCGCACACAACACACACAGAAGGGGGAAGAAAGGGGGCAAGAGAGAAGAAAAAAAGAAAAGGTTGTGGCTTTGTCTGTAATCTGAGGCAGGATGATAGTAAGTTCCAGGCCAGCCTGTGCTGTAAAAATAGTTCAAGGCTAACCTGAACTACATAGCAAGACCCAGTCTCAGAACTTAACAAACAAGCTCAGTAAGATATGGTGCAATGAACAAATCAGCTTTTCATGCACCAATAACAAAACTACTAAGAAAGACATCAGAAAAGCTATCTCCTCATGACTACAAAAAAGAAAAAAATTGAAGGAAGTGAAAGTTCTCTTCAATGGAAATTATAAAACTAATCAAAGACATTGAAAAGGGACCTGGGGAGATGGTTCGTTGGTAAAATTCCTGCCCCACAAGCAGGAAGGAAGACTCCAGCATCCCCAGGAGAGCTGGGTGTGATGGTGCACTAATATACCATTGTACCAGCAGGACAGAGTTAGGTGGAGCTAGCCAGTTAGTAATTTCTGGGTCCAGTGAGAATCAGTCTCAATAAGAAGAGCAATAGAAAAAGACATCAATCAACCTCTGGCCTCCACAAGCATGCATGCTCATAAAGTACACACAATAAGTAATAAAATTGAAGAACTGGATAGAGCAATACACCCATGAACCCGAGGCAGGAGAATTGCCTCAGGTTTAAGACCCATCTGAGCTACATGGCAAAACCCTCTCCCAAAAAACAAATAACCAAGCACCATCTCTAAAATGGGGGCTTGTTCTGAGTTGGTAAATTTAATACTGAAATATCCATACTTTTAAGTGATTTGTGGATTTGGGACAATTCCTATCCAGATGCCAGTGACATTCTTCACAAAAGTAGAATGTGTGTAGGGTAACACATGACCTCCAGCAGCAAAGGCAGCCCTGAGAAAGAAAGCAAAACTTTGCAGATTTTCCGAGCATACTGCAAAGCTACAGTGAGCCAGGCCTGGTAGCACTCCTCAGAATCCCAGAACTTGAAAGGTGACAGAGGAAGATCAGGAACCAGAGATCATCCTTGGCTGTATAGAGAATTGAAGATCAGCTGAGTTACATGAGACCAAAAATGCCTGTCACCTGTAATCCCAGCAAGCACTTGAAAGATGTAAGCAGGATGATCAGGAATTCTAGGCTAGCTTTAGCTATGCCCAGAGGCCAGGCTAGCCTGGACTATATAAGATTCTATCTAAACAAAGGGTCTTATTTTCTTTTGTTTTGCCTACAAAGTAGTGGTTTTCATTATGACATTTTCATACATATATATCATGAATCTTTGTTCTTACTAATCCTTCATCCCCATACCATTCCTTTTCTGTTTATTCTTTGTTTCTGTTTTTTTTGTTTTGTTTTGTTTTGTTTTAGGGGATAGGGTCTTTTTATACAGTTCAGCTGTCTTTGAACTCACAGAGATCCACCTGACTCTACCTCTCTAGGTGCTTGGATTAAAGGCATGCACCACTATCCCAAACTCTAATACTTTTTTAAAAAGCATTTTAACTATCTGAGACTGATACTGACAGCAACCCAATTTTATATATCAGGAGCCCAGAATCTCCGAGAGGCTCTATTTTCACACACAAGGAGATCAGAGCTGTAAAACAGCTGGCCTGTGGTCCCACATGTGAACATGAAGGTGACCTGTGTGCATAGATGACCTCACTACAGAGCTGTGGGATTGAGGGCCTCAGAGCCAAGAGGCGAGGCTGGAGGAACAGCAGTTGAAGCGCAAGAAAGTAGAGGGAATACATGACCCATGTAGACATTTTGGCCTGGCATGGTAATGCATATATAATCCCCGCACTCAAGACTAAGGTAATATAATCACCATGGCTTTAAGGCCAGCCAGATCTACATTATGTAGTGAGACCTCATTTCAAAAATAAAATTTAAAATAGCTCTAAAGAGATGGCTTAGCAGTTAACACCACTTGCCGGACTCGAAGAGGGTCTTTCTGGGTCAAGCACCATACCAGGTGGCTAACAACTGCCTATAACTCCAGTTGCAGAGGATATGACTCTGTTCTGGCATCTTGGGCACCTGCACACGTGTACATACAAGCAGACAAGCACATGCACATGAACTAATTTTTTTTAAAGCCCAAGACTTAACTGTTTTATCCTAAGTATGAGTATACTTGGGATAAAGTATAGTTTTATGAGTGAAAAATAGTATAATTAATTGGCTTATGATTGAGGAAAGCTAAGCATTAGAAGGAAAAGGACTGACTTAGCCTTGTCACATGAAACAGCCAGGGTCCCAGTCTGGCCTCTTAGTCCTGACTCACTGCTGGAGCCCTATGGCCGAAGACCACTACATCCCCAGAGGGACCTGGTCGTGGTGTCTGAGCCCCAGTGCAAAAAGACGGATCGGTTTTCATAGCAGTTGTGCTCCTTAATTACCGTCGCAGGCCCAAGGAGAGTGGGCCGTTCCAAGACCTCACGAAGGGGTGCCCTTAGTGAGGCCACTAGGCAGAGTGAGGGTCACCATTGTTCTGCGGCTTCTTTATTAGACGTGTTTATTTTGCTGAGGGTGGTGTGCACACTGGTGCACATGTAGACATCAAAGGGCAACTGGGAGGAGTCAGATCTGTCCTTCCACCCTGTGGGTCACTAGTTCTGAACCCAGGTCATCAGATTGGGGTGCAAGCTGCTTTATCCACTAAGCTGTCTGAGCAGCTCATACTCTGTTCTCCGTTTATTCAGTAAGTCTGGTCTGGCTTTGCTGGGACTAGGAACTGAGATTGCTCGATGAGAAAAAGGAGGAACAGCGTTGCAGTCTGTGCCTCCAGAAGAACCAGGTTTAAACCCTGGGATCAGCCCCACCCAGCCGTCTTCAGAAGGGTCTCTTTATGCTCTGTGCAAAGCAACGTTCTTCTAGTTCCCTCTAACTAGATAACTAACTCTCTTCATTTTGATGTGTGTTTCAGCTGGGAAGGGCTATCCCTGTAAGACGTGTAAGATAGTGCTGAACTCCATAGAACAGTACCAAGCTCACGTCAGTGGCTTCAAACACAAGAACCAGTGAGTAGCATCCTTTGAAGTTGAAGAGTCTTCAGCAGGAAGCTGGAGTTTCTCAGTCGGGAAGTTCTCTGCTTAAATCAGTTAACAGTGTCTCGGGGTTCCCTCATCAGCATGTGGACAGACGAGGCCAAAAGTTGTGGTAGAGATGCACACACAATGTCCTTTGTGGTTTCCAGAGAGCACCTGGTTTTCTTGGCGTGTAGCGGCTTGTGTAGGAAAACATGATTTTCTACAATTATTGAAAAATTCAGTTTCATTAAATCCTCAGGAGAGCTCCACTAGAACATCTCTGTCACCTGGTGTCACTTAGGTTGAGTGGCTTGCCCTGGGTCACACAGCAACTTGGAGTTAAACAAAGGTTGACACCCTTGAGGCTGCAGACTGTTGAGTTTGCTCTCCTGCTGCCTCCTGGAGCTCATTAGCCTGCCTCACCTTACAAGGCTGTGTAAGGATCAGAGGCAGCAATGGAGAGTAATTATAAATAAGTTCGCTATTAAGATAAATTCTCTTGCTGGATGGTGGTGCACACTCTTAATCCCGGCACTTGGGAGACAGTGTCAGGGGAATAATATCTGAATTCAAAGCCAGCCTGTTCTTCAGAGCAAGTTCCAGAATGGCCAAGGCTACATATAGAAACCCTTTCTCAAAAGAACATTTGAAAAAAAGATCAATTTTCTTTTTTCATTATAATTGTGCTTGTGTGCACACCATAAGAAGGCACCCAGTGCCCTGGAGTTGGAGTTATATCCATTGGTGAGCCCAGACCCAGGTCCTCTGCAGGAGCAGCACCGTACTAAAGCAGATAAGCCAAACTTGAGACAAAGATGAAAATCATGTTTTCTCCTTTGTGGATCCTAAATTTCACAAATTTCTAAAGAAACATTTAAGTTTTTTGAAGTTCAGCTTCATGTATAAAATGAAGGTGCTCTTCTTTGCCATACAGAGTTGACATGAGGTTAAATGGGGTAATGGCCTAGCATTCAGTGGCCCTCAGTAAAAATAACCTCACCCTGGCATTGTCCTAACATGTGAGGAGAGCCGTACAATGTTAGCACAGGCTGCTGAGTGTATGTGCCACACACTTACCCTGTGCCTTTGTTCTTCTCAAATTACAGGTCACCCAAAACAGTGGTGTCACCTATGAGCCAGATGCCAGAGCAAACGCAGCCCACTCCAAAGGACTCGAGTGTGGTGGAAGACTAGAGATGTCTCTGCCTGGTCAGCCACAAGCCAGTTCCCGGTGATTGTGGAGCCAGCCCTTGGCTCCCTCTTCCTCCTTTCTGATATCAGAAGAATATGGAGGCATGAGGCCAAATTGGGTTGCAGACAGCCTCTGACTGGGCCCGGATGGAGCTCCCCCTGGCCTCCTCTTTAGCATGACCCTACAGGTCATGTAGGAGACAGGGCTCCAGAGAAGACCTGAGGTGGTGGTTTAGAGGTTAGCCTTCCCTAGCCCCTCTGGGTGCATATCCTGCAGCCCCAGTATCTGTTTTTCCGCTCAAGGTCAGTGTGGAGCAACTTCCTGCAGACAGAGGAGAGCACCATCTCTGGGCTCCAAGCAGCTCCTGGGACACGAGCTTTCCTGAAGTCTTCGTCAGGGGAGCAAACCAGAGACTGAGTGGCTGTCATGTAGAGAGTTGGAGCTAATGTGTCACTTCCCATCCCTCAGATGTGCAGGCTTGCCTGGTGTAGATCCTGCTGCCGTGAAGTCTCCTGGAACACACGTGTAGTCCTAACAGCACTGCCATCTGCTGCCTGTCTCTCCAGTTCCCAAATGGTGCTCGGAGACATCTGCATTTGCTCAGAGCTTGGGGAGACCTGAGTGCCCTGTGGGGTCATGGGATGCATCAAAGGGAGCCTTTGTCATTTATCAGAGGTGCTGTGACCCAGGGTTGTGTGAGAAAGTCTCCCACCCGCTGTGTTCCTTGACTCTGTGCCTCCTGCCAGCCTATTGGAAGGCTGCTTGGTGTTCATTCTGTGCCCTGTGTAGTAGACTATCCCGCCCGGTTGCTGTGGTGCTATCCTTCCCTGTCTTCAGGGAGTTTTGGGGGACCCAGGAAGAAGGAGGACTGGAGAAATGGTGTGAGGAACCGGCCCCAGGCCCTGAACTGAGAGTTCCCTACTGGTGTTCTGTGGCCTGAGAATCCACTGAGAGTAGATTTTTTTTTTTTTTTCCACATAGCTGTGGACCAAGGAAGTTGGGTACCATATAGCGATGGGGGCAGGACTTTAACTTAAACCTTTGGCCACTCAACCCTCCAAATAAAGAATTTCTTCTGTGAACCAGGCTGTAACTTCAGATCTAGGGATTATAGCCAGCCATGTTGATACTACTATAATATCCCCCCACAGTCGGTAGCCTCCAGGGCCCTCGGATTGATCTTATCCCAGGAAAAGTCTACCTGGTGCCCTGAACCCTGTCCAGTTAATTGACCCAGCCACCTCCATCGTTCATGTAGGCCTCCCGAAGGTCTTGAGAGAATCTGATTTGGAATCTGACTTGTTCTCGAGATGGTCATTCTAGCTGCTGAGTGGAGAGCTGCAGGGGCCAGTGTGAGAGCTGTGTCCATAGGCTGTCTCCGGGGTCATCCCTTTGGGATATAGCTCCGTGTATTAACTTCTGAGTTTATGAGCGAGTGGGTGAGAGTGCTAAAGGACAGCTGTTCTTTTCCTGCTTGGGTTAATGAGCTAGAGGCATTTCCACGAGCTTCTCCTAGGCCTTCTGGGCCTTGGGAATGATGGGAAAGGGAGCTCCGGCCTTGGAAACTGATGCAGATAGGCCAGACCAAGTAGCCTCAGCTCCAGTTCCCTGCAGCTTTCTGTCCTGGCACCTGCCCCTAGCCAGCTATGAGAGGCTCTTCTTGGCTCCTGGAGTAGGTTCTCAGCTTTCCACTTCCCAACCATGGCCACCACAAGTTACCCCAGAACTGTATGCATCCCAGTGTGTCAGAATTAGTAAATATTACTAGGTAAGGAAGTGAAGAAGTCATGGATGGGCTGACCGCGTGAGTCCCCCCCGCCTTATAAGACCTCTTTGTCTAGAGTCAGGAGTCCCTACCAGCTCATGTCCAGCACCACTGCTGTGGAACCCTAGGGAGGCTTCCCTTGAAAATCGTGAGTTAGAGAATTACAGTGGGCATCTGGGAATGCCCCGGACACGAGCGCTACCAGCCTGGAGTATGAAAAGACTGAGAAATGAACATCTGGTCTGTATAACTTTTGAGGTTTTCCAGTTTGTCTGAAGTAGCCATTAGCCTTGAACTGCTGGTCCTCCTGCCTCCACCTCCCTAGACCTGGGGTGAAAGGCGTGTGCCGCCACATTCATTTTCATCCATGTTACTGTGTGTGTGAGGGGACAGGGTCTCACTATGTAGACCAGGCTGGCCTCAAACTCAGAGATCCGCCTGCCTCTGCCTCCGGTGTGCTGCGATTAAAGGTGTGTGCCACCACCTGTGAGAAGGTGGTTTTTTTTTTTTTTTTTATTTAAATGCTATCTAGTAACCCTTTGAATCAGTTACAGCCGAGCCTTTCTACAGTTGAACAGTTGTGTTTCTCCTTGAAGGTCATTCCAAATAAAGCTGCTGTCAGTTTGGTCTGTACAGTTCTTCAGTCAGAAGTGGGCTGATGGGATAGGCAGTTTTCAGCCGAAGTGGTTCTGATGTCCGTCCCCCACTCATGAAGGGCCCCAGCTGTCCCACGTGTCTGTACTAAGTGTTTTCTGATGAAGCAGGGAGATGCACTCAGAGGTCCCAGGCTTCTAGTAAAAGGACATTCCACTTTCATCATTTAAAAAGAAGTCTTTCTGTGTAGCCCTGGCCGTTCTGGAACTGGTGTAGACCAGGCTGACCTCAAACTCATCCACCTGCCTCTGCTTCCTGCGTGCTGGGATTAGAGGCCTGAGTCACCATAGCCAGCCAGCTTTCAGCATTCTTTGTAAGACTGTTGAGTCAGCAGCCTAGAATGATGTCAGGTGTCGGTGCGCAGGACCACGTACAGCAGGTGAGCATCAGAGAGCAACCCAGGAAGGTCGCACAGAGGCATGGGCCCCAGACAGGCAGTCTAGAGCAACGCAGAGAACTCACATTGGAATCTGGCCACCAGAGCTCTGCCTCCACAAAGCTCTGTGATCTTGATTAGTTAGCTCCCATCCCAAACCCCCTCTGTGAAACTGCCTACCTCAGAGCCTCTGCTTGTGCCAAGCCTGAACTATAGAGAAAGACCATCCATCCTTGTTTAGCACTGTACATAGATGCTGCTTTGAATCTAGGATAACCATTATGAAAATGGGCCGGCTTTGCCATGCAGTGACCCATGCTGGCCACTAGGTGGAAGGCACACCTTTTATTATTTTTTCCCCCCTTGTTCAGGGAACTTCAACTCCAGGACCTTAGTGCTTGATTTAACACCAAAGAGAATTGGGTGGTCTTCTCTTAAGTCTCTGTGTTTGATATTTCACTTAACCCTCAAGATAGCTGGGAAAAGATCCAGTTTCACAGGAAAAACATGAGCCATGTCTCGTGGGATCTTACACAACCAAGCAACCTTGGAAAGATCTGGGCCCAAGCTCCCAACTATGTTTTTTTAATATTTTTATTTATTACTATTTTATGGTTGCTTGGGCACATATGGAGGCCAGAGGACAACTTATAGTACTTCTGTGAGATTCCGAGATTAAGCTCAGGTTAGTGGTATTTTGAACTCCCTGAACCGACTGGCCGGCTCCCGACTTTTTCTGTACTTCCCAGACCACCTCACCTTCCACTTTCACTCTTCTGAAAGGCTGCAGAACTGGCCACCTGCCTAAGGGTAACCTGGTGTTTGGCTGGCTTGGGACCCTTCCTTATTTTAGTTTATGATAGGGTTTCGTGCAACCTGGGCTGACCTCCAGCTTCTATGTAGCTAAGGGTAACCTTAAACTCCTGATCCTGTCACTACCTCCCAAGCGCCAGGGTAATGGATACATGACACCACTCTGTATTATTTGAGATGGTATCACTATGTAGCCCAGGCTGGCCTTGAATTCACTATGTAGCCCATGTTGGCTTCAACTTCACAGCAATCCTCCTGCCTCCCGAGTACTGGAATTCCAGTACTGAGCCACCACACGACATTCACATCCTTTTGTTCTTTTACCCAGGATGCATTTCTGCTTCATTCTTATACCCAGTAGTCCAGAGGAAGGGCTCCCACTCTATTCCAGAGGGTGAAGCTGTGATCCAGCCTAGGTAACCAGAACATGAATTTGGAGCTGTTAGTGACTACCTTTGCCGATGTCTAAGGAAAATCTGCCTGAGAATTAAACCAGCACAAAGGAAACCAGCTAGGAAGTGAGAAGCATTGCCGATTCTTCTCTGTCGTGTAGGAGACACTCTGGCTCCCAGCCATGCATTTGGGGATAGGAGTAAGGGGCAAGGTGGGGGACGAAGAAGAGAAAGAGGATGGTTGGAAGAAGGCAGACAACGGCCTAATGCAGCTGGTCTTGTCAGCCTGGAGGCCTCTACTGCGCTTACATATAAAAATAGCATTGGCCCCCAAGGCTAACTTGGCTGCTCTTGCATGTGGCCAGATGCCTCGTGTCCCCTTTAAGCCCTGCCCTTAATATATTGTGTCAGGACAATCTGTTCAATGGCCCGTTTGGGCTTTTGTTTTGTTTTTGAGTCTGTTTCTCCCTGTGCAGCCCAGGCTGGTCTGGACCTCATGATCCTCCTGCCTCAGGCTCCCAAGTGCATACCACCATGGCTGACTCCTAGAAGCTGCTCCCTATGGGCAGTAATTGGGTCATACCACATTGGATCCCTGATGCATAGCAGAGAACCATGTTTTCCTTGGGGGGGGTGCAATTGTTAAGGTTTTTTTTGTTTGTTTTAGGGGAGGTTTGCTCTTTTTTTTGTGTGTGTGTGTTTTGTTTTGGGAAGGGGTGAGACAGGATCTCACTATGTGGCCGGGCTGTCCTCGAACTTCTAGAGATCGTCCTGCCTCTGCCTCCTGAGTTCTGAGATAAAGGCATGCACCTTTTTTGGTTCGGTTTGTTTTTGCAGTGCTGGGGCTGAGACCCAGGAACTTCAGCATGTTCAGCAAGTGCTCCGCCACTGAGCCACTTCCCCATCCAGAACCAAGACTTCTTAAAGGAGATGAGTCTCTAGTGGTCATAAAGATCAAAGGAGCCAGGTTTCAGGGGTAGGAGGAGGGTTGTAGGGTAGAGTGAGTTGTTTCAGTGATCACTTCCCATGGATCTTTGCCCCTCCATGTCCTTTTACACTTGACTTCCAAGGCTGGGATGTAAGAGTCCTTACAACCTCCCTCCTGCCACAGAGAGAGTCTGGGTTGAGCTGTAAGAAGATGAACAATCACGTGATGAGAAAGTTGCGTTTCACACGACTGGCATTCTATAAATTCTATCAATGTGTTTTGTTGTCGTTTTGTTTCTTATAGTATTGGGGGCTGAACCTGAACTTTGTTCATGCTAGGCAAATGCTTTACCACCGAATTAATAACCCTAGACCAAGGAGGTCATCTTGGACCCCCAGCACAGACAAGTCGCACTGTAAGCAGCCCTGATGCGATCCAGAACTCTGAAGCTGAGCCTAGCTAATCCACAGAATGGCACATGAAACACAATTCTCTAAAGTCACTGTCGTAGTCAGGGTTTCTTTTGCTGCAGTGAAACACTGTGACCAAAAGCGACCTGAAGGGGAAAGGGTTGATTTCATCTTACATTTCCAGGAACACTGAAGGCAGCCAGGGCAGGAACTCAAGCAGGGCAAGAATCTAGAGACAGGAACTGAAGCAGACTCCATAGTGGAGCACTGCTCTCTGGCTTGCTCTCATGACTTGCTCCAGCCTGCTTTACTATAGAACCCAGGACCACCAGCCCTGGAGTGGCACCACCCACTGTGGCCCGATATTATGGAGTCAATTTTTTTTTTTCTAGATAGGATTTCTCTGTGTAGCCCTGGCTGTCCTGGTACTCACTCTGTAGACCAGGCTGGCCTCAAACTCAGAGATCTGCCTGCCTCTGCCTCCTGAATGCTGGGATTAAAGATGTGTGTCCCCACCACTCTGCTGGGTGCCAGTTTCTTGAGGTTTCTTACTCTCAGATGACTATAGCTTGTGTCAAGTTGACATAAAACCAGCCAGTGTAGTCACTAAGTTTGGGAACGGCTTATTATTAATGAGAGGCCCAGACATCAACAGGTGAAGCAAGCTCCAGCTACTTACCTTTCTTCCTATAGTAGGATTTCTCTTGAAGGAGCCCCACCCCCAGTTTATGTGGTCTGTAGAAG